ATGGGCGTGGTCAGTTGGGGTGCTGGGTGTGGATCAGTCGGACGATATGGAGTGCACGCTGATGTGTTGAGGCTCCAGCGATGGATTCAGGAAACAATACAAGACGCATAAGCAAAAAACGAAGAAAAATAATGTTTTGTACAGGACATTTACTGCCGATGAAGTGGTTAAGTATCCGTCAGCTAGTGGAGGAAAATAAACAAGAAACTGTTCATGAAGGGACCTTCATTTAGAAATCAGGAAATATAGTTCTACCCCAAAAAAGTGTCTTAGCTGTAGGTGCCATTACCTAGAGTTTTAAATTTCGAAATATCATTCATTCCCTCGTATGTTCGGCCGCTTTAGAGAGCGGATTTCACGAAGATTGCGCGTAAGATTTCAGGTAGGAACAAGGAAGTTTAAGAAGTTAGAAGGAATTAGCTTTCGTCGGGCACTTTGTAAGTATCACAACGGTTGCATAAGTCCTTTTTTTTCCTGGAATTTTCACTTTCTTTTTGGTCATATCACTGCAGGGTCAGTGGCAGCCTCGTTGGTGCACCGGGCTTTTGAAATTCCGAGAAGGCATGGGAACGAAGGTGTGCGTATTAGGCTTCAGATTACCCCTATAAGATATACATGTAAGGTCCAATTTGATCAGTTTAGCTTTCCGAAGCTCAAAAGGGTCGACAAAGGAGACTGAGCTTAAGATTTCAAATTTGAAAATTGTCAAATAAACGCAAATAGAAATTCTAATAAGGTGCCAAACCTTTAGTTGGGTTACACCGTCCGCGGTAACGTGAGAGGTAACCCTGTAAGTACGATAAGAGGGCATTTGACGTGGCGGAAAGTGCAGTGTCACCAGCTTTGAATACGTGTCAACTGGTGTCCCATTCTTATGCAAAAATGGAGAGAAGTCATGGAAAAGTTGAAATGATAACAGCTTTGCTTTCGTTGTCGATACATTTGATATTCTGAAAGTAGGGACCGATGTTCAGTTATCAGCCTTCACCTATGGCTACTTTCCATTTAACTGTAATTGCGTAAAAGATTTAGAGATACACATAACAGGCACATAAATGTAGAAATCAGAATAATCAATGTAATGTTCTCCGTATCTCTCCATTCGGTCAAAAAAACTTCAAACCTTAGGTCACTTCTTTCGACGGGTCCCGGCCTACTCTGCAAGTCTGCAGACGAACCAAGTGGCCCATTAGGCCGGCACTAATCTCTTGTTTCAGTAGCATGAAGCGACTAGGAGTATTTCTGCTCTTCCCTGGATGGGATGCTAGTCCATCGCAGGGTTACCCCCGACATTAAATTCATCGGTACCCATTTATACTTCTGGGTGGAGAGAGCTTACCCAAGAACACAACACAATGCCCCTTGCTAGGGCTCGAACACGGACCGCTCGATCCGGAGACGAGCGCACTAACCATGAGGCCAACTCACCTCCCACTCCCTACTCTGGGATGGTCATTATTTTCGGCACTTTGCTGCGGAACTTTACTTCATGTCCACTCGAACCTCTCTTTACGGGCCCCCCTCTTATGCGGACTCTTAAACTCTGTTAGTTCCCTTGGTCCCATCCAAACGCCCATATGTTCTTTATTAAAAAAAAAAACCCTTCTATAATACGGATCCTCTTTAATTCGACGACGCACACTAAATCTCGTCTCCAGAGGT